AGAAGTTCAGTTATCTGTCAGTAGATGGAGAAACAAATAATAAGAAAAATACTTGGAAGTTCAGTTATTTCTCAATAGATGGAGAAACAAATAATAAGGAAAAATACTTGGAAGTTCAGTTATCTCTAAATAGATGGAGAAAGAAATAATAAGGAAAAATACTTGGAAGTTCAGTTATCTCTCAATAGCTGGAGAAAAAATTAAGAAAAGACATGGAAGTTCAGTTATCTCTCAACAGATGGAGAAAAAATTAAGAAAAAATATACTTGGAAGTTCAGTTATCTCTCAATAGATGGAGAAAAAATTAAGAAATGTTTTCTATATACAAACACATTCGAAGATTGCCAAATATTTAATTTTATAATGTTTTGATACTAATATATTTGTATAAACTTATAAAATAAAAGACTTTGGAGAATTTTCCCTCTTGAAAGAATATATTTTGACAATCTTTAATCTCTCTTGATGTAACCCTCGTTAAGATATTTGTTGTTTATTTTAGAATAAAGTTACAGATTGTACCATCAAATGTCTATTCAGCATTGTAACTTCGTAAGTATACCGGAGACCGAAATTATGGAATATGTAGCTTTAGGAAAAATACCTTTTTTTAAATAACTACTCATCAAATGTTATTGGTTGAAAACAGACGATAACATCTATTAATAATCATCAAACAATCACTAATGTAGTTCGTATTTTAATGTGAGTAGAGTACACAAATTAGTTAACTATATATTTCTTTTATAGTATCATTAACATCAAAATTCTTAACAACAGACAACAACTTTTACGATAAAAATAACTCCAATGTTTATAAGAAGAAGCGGAAAATTCAGATGTCGACTAGAGCCATATTTAGAAAAACTATAAACATTTCTTGGACTCGGTGTGAAAAACATCAGATACAGTTACTAACACGGTTCTAGCTTGTAGTGATTTAAGGAAAACCCTTTTTGAATATCCTGTTTAATACAACTATAAAACCCTTGATAGAAGATTCACATCTTCAGTCTTTAAAAAATCAATTCTGTGTTATTAATCATTTAACAATGTACAACACTGTGAAGATATTAAGTATTTTGTCTGTCTTCGTGTTGACTCAGGCTGATGTCCATCATCACACAGCTTGTAATACTGTTGGTTCACTGAAAGGAATAGTGGACTCCGTTACAGAATTAGTAGATCTGGCTAGAGAGAGGATTTCTACTTTAGAAGGTAAGATATTTTACTTGAAGTGTTTTTGTTTACAGAATATTTCAACATCCACTAAAGGAACATTTAAATATAACTATATGCTAAGTTGTAATGTTAAACCCAAATGTTACAATGTTATTGTTGGTAACACTGTATGTTCAACTCCTTTTCTGTTTTTACGTTAAAGTTTTTCTCTGTTACTCTTTAGATGTATTTTCTACAAACACACTTGAACGAACATTGCCACTAATTCTTAATGACAAACAAAACCAGACAAACCGAGCCTTTCAACAATCACCGTCCACCCTCCTCCTGATGTCTCCATATCACAGTATACAGAGATCGACTGATTCAAAAACAGTGGCTGAATCTTATAGACACCGCTGGTTCGGTTCACTTGTTGTTTATAGATACTGGCACAATCTTCTGGTAGAGGTTCCGTCGTCTGTGTCACGCAAAGAGGGTGAACTAAACTTTGTTTCATGGCGTAGCTTCAGGTAATTCTCAGTTAAGGACTGTTTTCGTGAAACATTTAGTTAAAACTAGCCATTATTTTCACTGAAGAAAAAATTACTTTGTTATATAAACTCAGTTATATCGAAAAATGAACCCACATTTAAAACAAATAAGTTTATTTTATTAAGAACATATAAGTTTTTGTTTTAATTTTTTATTGATATTTCTTCACTAACTCTGTTAATTAAGATATGCTAATTACCACGTTTAAATATACAACATATAAGACGTGTTTTCACTTGGTAATCATTTCGTTCTGGATTGTTTATATATATATATATATCAGAATGTGTATCTGTGTTTAACTAAACACTTTCTACATGAAGATAAACATATAACACAGAGGAATCTACTCTGGAATTTATCTTATTGTTTATTTAAAGTTTCTGTTAAACATAAATTCAGATCGTATGAATGATTTAGTTGGAAAACGTTTCGTTTTTATACAGTTTTGTACACATAGAATAATGTTGAATTATACAGGAATATCTACTTTGAAGATTTATTTTGATACTTATGAAATTTAGCTATATTTGTATTTCTTATTGATTTTCTTATTTCTAGTTAATCCAAAGAAGAGGAGATTTTGGAAAACCAGTTGAAAATTTTTACAGAACGTGGGAAGAATACAAAAATGGTTTTGGAAACTTAACCAAGGAGTTTTGGTTAGGTAAAACTTTATATATTTATTTAACAGTGATCCACCACTTTTATATTTCATGTTATTTAGGATTATTCGGTATAATTAATTATTTACTGTCTTGTAAACAATTTATTTATTATGGAGTGCTTCACTTCCAGGAAATGACATCATCTTCTCGTTGACCAATCAAAACAACATGGTGCTCCGTGTTGATTTGGAAGACTTTGAAGGAGTTCGAAGATATGCAGAGCATGATGAGTTCTTGATACGAAGTGAAATAGAACTTTATAAAATGAGCTTTAAGACGTACAAGGGTGACGCGGGTGAGTTTAAACTATTTGTTCACATCAACACGTATCCTTTATTGTTGATGTAAATATGTTATTGTTGTTTAGAGAGATAAGTAGGTGCGGTAGCCTTAAGAAACGTTTGTACATGAAATGACATTTATACAATGGAATTAAAATAGTGAATGTAACGTCTGAAAACGGGTTCGTCAGTTATTTCCCTAGTAATTAGAAATATTTAAAAACTATTTTATTTAACTGTGTTACAATTCTAGTTCCATATACAAATACATTCGAAAAAAAGAAACCCTATTCCAATAGATAACAACCTACATTAGATATTTATGTTTTGTTGTTTAAGCTTAAAATTATTTCGATATTATTTTAGGAAATTCCCTTACTACTCACAACAACATGATGTTCAGCACCAAAGATAAAGACAACGATAAAAACAGCGGCAGTTGTGCTCAAATCTGCAAAGGCGGATGGTGGTATAATTCATGTCATCGTTCAAATTTAAACGGTTTGTATTACACAGAAGATAAGGTAGACACTGCAGGTATTACCTGGTATGAGTGGAAAAGTAAACATAGCACATGAAAGACAAGCGAGATGAAAATAAGACCTGT